AATTTTTATATACTTTTTGAGAGCCTGATTACAAAAAAGGTCTCATCATTAAAAGCCACATCCCAAACACTTCAACATAAGCAGCCTAGTTTGAACGGTGTACGTTTTAAAAATCTTTTTACTCTCCCATTACCAAATTTAGTCATTAAAAAGTCTTACAAATAAATAAAATTATGCATAATGCAAACTAGTCACTGGACATCATTACACGTGTAAAGAATCAAAATGAATGCGCCATAGATCAATAAAACGGAATAGCCTCTGCACGGACAATAATTAAATGATTTTAATTACTAAACCATATTGTTGATGAAAATAATAAGAGAAAAATACAAGTGGTTGTTGTTATTAATAATGTATCAATGATTTTGAAAAAGTAACAAATGAATACCACTGTTTTAAATAGCAGCCGTTGATGCTGAAGCGCTGAAGCTGAAGAGCTGAATGAACATGGTAAACTGAAGCGTTTTGCTGGCAGCTTATTTAACTCAAGGACTGAGATTAAGACATTAATATTAATACAACATAAACATAATAATACAACTTATATATGTACAAAATGATGCAGTTATTGCATGCTATAGTCAGAATGTGTGATCCAGTTGTGGATGCGCTCTTCCCATATCAACGCGCTGAAACACAGCAACTAAACCCAAAGAATGCACAACGTTTTATTATAATAATGTTCTCATTAGAATGTTATATACACAACATTCCCAATCATAGTTATTAATGTTGTGCACTGCTGTTTGAGCTGCGTGCGCTGAGCTAAAGATGATCACCGGTAAACTGAAGCGCTCTTTTAACTTAACCAAACGCATTCTATATGAAATAAATCAGATATACATCAAATAAACACAATATTACAATGTACAATTGCACAAAAGGCTGCAAACGAACAGCGCGCATCTGAAGTGTCTCTGAAGGAAATAATGCATTATTTATCGGTTTTAAGATATCGGTCAAATTTTCTTATCAGGCCGATACCGATAACAGAAAAAAATGAGCATTTATCGGCCGATACCGATATGGTGGCCGATATATCGTGCATCCCTATAAAATATTATTACATTTACATTTAGTCATTTAGCAGACGCTTTTATCCAAATCGACTTACAAATGAACACAATGGAAGCAATCAAAATCAACAAAAGAGCAACGATACACAAGGGCTATAACAAGTCTCAGTTAGAATAATGCAGTACACGTAGCAAGGGTTTTTTAAATAATAATAAATAAAAAGTTTAAACTTTTGTTAATTGTATAATAAATGAAAAGAAAACAGATAGAATACAAGAATAGAGAGTGCTAGAGTTAGAGGGTCAAATAAAGATGGAAGAGATGTGTTTTTAGTCGTTTCTTGAAGATAAATGAATTAATTTCTATTAAAATTAATATTCATCATTAGAAAACTGATTAATGTTTAATATTGACTTTAGTTTAATTCATTGTTTTCCCCACATCAAGTATTTTTTTCAAGAACAAAGTTCATTATAAAACGGATAGTTCCGGTCCTTGGTTCTGATTGGCTGAGCCACGTTCAAAGCTGTTGTAAATTACTCTACGAACATACACCTTTGTTTACGTTTGTGTGTTGCGCGGCAACCACTTTGTTGCAACCACAACTGTTTCTGAGGAACTACATTGTTTGGTGGAAGAATAATGTTTTTATTAATATCATTACACTTTACTTGCTCCGTTTTATTTTGTGAAACCTTACTACATATATGGAATAACCGTTTTATAAAAGCAATAAGCCCTGTGAAGCCGTGGTTTACAGTATATTTATAACAGCTAAGGGGATTATAGCTAACAGCTAAGGGGGTTATTTGCATCGTGCCTAACAACGTCCCTTAGATGTTATAAATTCACTGTAAACCACGGCTTCTTGGGGCTTATTGCTTTAACATAACAAACGTGAAAACCTCTGATTTATTTACCTACATCAACACTGCCACTTATTATGTTCCTATTTGTTTGTTGAATTATTATTTTAGTTTTTATTAATTACGTGGATTCATTTTTTACATTTCAAAAAGCTGCAGTTTTAAAGGGGTCCTGAACTGAAAAATCAAATTTCCCTCGATCTTTTGACATATAAGAGGTCATTGTACTATAAAAACATCCTAGTTTCAGAACTCAAAACTTTCTCGTTAGTCTAAAATTAGCTTTTATTGAAGCCAGAACGACAGGGTGGGGAATGTGCCACTTTATGATGTAATAGTGTGGCTAAACCCCGCCTCCGCTGGAGATCATCAACGCCTGCTTCTGCATCACTGCCTGTTTAGCCCCGCCCACCGATTCGCACGTGTAGTGTACATAACGAGAGAGGCAAACGCAGGTCTACACAGAAACCAAATTATAAAGATGGCTCCGAAGACAACAAGAGGCTGTGCAAGAGGCTTCTGATCCCAACATTAGGAAAGTGTGGATGAACTTTATTTTTAATGTTCCAGACCGTGTCAGTAAGAACTTGGCCTTTGTTCACTTCATTTTACCGTGGATTCGTTTACAAACAAGGCACAATTCGATACGGGATTTTCAGAGATTGAAACTAAAAGACGATGCTGTGCCAACTACATTAGATCCGACAGTAATGTCGCACCACACAAGTGTGAGTTTTTATTATGTGGTCACTATTGCTTGTCTGTTAACATAGCCTATTACTTCTCAATTATGATGTGTTTTTATGTACAAATCTTGATAACATTATAAGTGGAACTCAGAGAACAGTACAAAATAATTTTAAAAAGGCCGTTCATGACCCCTTTAACAGGGGTCTGTAGACTTTTAGACCTGCTCCGTGTGTATATACATGGGAGGCCTGCAGTTCAAAAAAGTGAAGAAACCACTGTTAACTGCCATACACTTCAGAAGAAGCCCTTTTCATTCAGGCAGCAACACTGCTGTCATCACATTAATGAAAAACAACCTGCAGAACCCAAATAAAAATAGTAGAATTTTGTGTTTAAACTAAAGGTGCATATTTTATGTCCAATTAAGACAACAGACTAAATCAATGTTATATAAGCTTACTTAGTTAATATTTTTTTTACAACAAACTATTCTGAACCCAAACCCTAAAACAAAAATGTTCACATATTTATAACCAAGACATTATTTATGAATTGATTTTCCAATTGAGGACATCCCCAAAGGGACAATTTGCCAACTTTAGCTTATTTCTGGTGACAAATTTGTCCCCAACCTATAACCAAGTAGATTCCCCACACACACACTTCACTGGCAGTATTTCTTGTGTAACAGTGTGTGCATTGGACAGAGGTCAAGGGAGAGCTTTCATCAACATTGCAAACAGGCTAACACACACTATAAATATTAGTAATCACTCAACACTCAACTTCTCTCTCTCTTTCTTTTTTTATCTGCTCCTCAGCTTCATCCTTTGCTGTATTACCTTATGTGACCCACATTTGGATCGTAGACACACAATACTAAAGGGAAAAAAAACCCTATAGAAGACTCCTCATCCCTCCTTTCAGAAATTCAATAATGAGCAGAACAAGACATGGAAGGAAAGTTGTGGAGCTGTGGAGAGCAAGCATGAACGAAAGCAAGAATGAACAAGAAAGAAGTAAAACTAAAGTCAAGCAAGAACACACACACACACACAAAACAAGAAACAGCAAAAGGAACAAACAAAAAGCTAGAACAAACTTTTGCAAGCAAGATTTTTTTAAAAAATCAAAGAACAAACTAAAACAAGCAAAGCTGAACAAAAGCAAGAACAATTTTTTTGGAAGCAAGAATAAACGAAAAAGCATAGATGAACTCAAAAACAAACAAAATCAGAGAGGATTAGAGGAACAAAAGAAACCAAGCAATCTTGAACAAAAGCAAGAACAAATGAAAGCAAACAAAAGTGACTGAAATCAAATAAAATCAAAAGTCAGACAAGAAACAACTAAATCAAGCAAAATCAAACAAAAGAAACATACAAAAGCAAGAACAACCATACGGAATCAAGAATGAAAACAAGAAAAAACTATATGCAAACAAAATCAAGGAAAGACAAAAACAAGCAAAGATAAACAAAAGCAATCAAGAAGGTAATAGCGAAAGAAAACAAAAACAAACAAAAGAAAAAGAAACAGAAGAAAGAACAAACAAAAACAAACAAAAGCAAGCAAGTACAAAGCAAAGAAATGAAACAAGCAAACAAATAAAGTATTGTGAGGTACACAGAGCTCTGCGGGGAAATAGTGGAGAGGTAGAGATAGAAGGTCATCTAAAACCCTGTTGCCTTTTCCAAGCGCAGGCTGGCGCCGGGCCATTCCAAACAGTTGTTGTACTGTTAACCCCCCCCCATCAGTCTACTCAAGTGTCACTGTAATACCCTGAGCTCTTATCACATGACCGCAGACAACAGTACGAAGCCCACACATTGGCCTAACCAATGAGATAAACACTGATCCACAACACACAAAACACTGATTATTATTTTATAGATCAATGGATAGGAAATGGTTATGTAGCTTGACACAAGCAATAGTTAAATATGACAAATATAGTAACTTCACTAGGGTTGTTGATGGATAAAGGCCTTAAAAAATTCTCTGCAAGACTCAAACTGGGAATACTCAGACAGCCGCGTAATCTTGTGTGCCACCTTGTGGTCATGTGGCATTCTACTGATTGTCTTATTTGAGAGTTTTTTTTACCTGTTTGATTTTACTGGTCACCACAGCTGGTAGTTTGACCCTGAGCTGCTCGGTTTCCTTCAGTGATGCTGGGAACCCGCTCAAGTAGGCCAGAGTTTGCATGCGGACCAGCCCCGGAGCCTCTTTATCAGTCGTCTGTCACAGAAACAGATGTTTAGACTCCATGAGTTTCACAAGGATTTTGTTTTAAAACTATACCTTTGCGTTTCACACAGAGATGATGTGATAAAAATTTTAAAATGTTGATGGATAAAGGCCTTAAAAAATTCTCTGCAAGACTCAAACTGGGAATACTCAGACAGCCATCTTGTGTGCCACCTTGTGGTCATGTGGCATTCTACTGATTGTCTTATTTGAGAGTTTTTTTTACCTGTTTGATTTTACTGGTCACCACAGCTGGTAGTTTGACCCTGAGCTGCTCGGTTTCCTTCAGTGATGCTGGGAACCCGCTCAAGTAGGCCAGAGTTTGCATGCGGACCAGCCCCGGAGCCTCTTTATCAGTCGTCTGTCACAGAAACAGATGTTTAGACTCCATGAGTTTCACAAGGATTTTGTTTTAAAACTATACCTTTGCGTTTCACACAGAGATGATGTGATAAAAATTCTAAAACTTTTTCAGGCAAAATCTTACTAAATAAGTCCTTAAGTGAACTAACTTCATAAAAGAGCTTTCTACTTGCATTAAAACGGGGACAGTTCAAAAGAATATGTTTAATAGAAAGGGGGGTCTTGCAGAACCAGGGATGACGTAATCCATTATAATGAACTGTGAGTTTCAGATAAGGGTCACCTACAAAATGTACAGTGATGTGGGTTGCCAGGAACATGGCTCAGGAATGCTAATAAAATATTCATCAAAAGGACATTGAATAAAAAATAAAAAATAAAAAGGTTCCTCTTGTTGGTTAAAGTATTTCCGTAGACATCATACAGCAGACATCACAACAAAAAACACAGTTCCCTTTTCTGTAAATGACTTTGATTCGTAAAGCAGCACGTTTTTTGGTTTTGTACTGCGTTTTACTCAAATTTGGGTGCGGGATATTCCTGCTTATGTTCCCACTTTTTAGAAGATGAGGTGACATGCAATAAACAAAATGGCAATCCATTGTTTTCACGTTTGTTTTGCAAGTATTTGATGATCAAAATCAGGGTAATATATATTTATATTTTGAATTAGCTTTTATTTTTATATTTTCAGTCTTCATTTTAATATACGTTTCAGTCATTTTTAAAGTGATTTTGTCATTTTTAGTTGTCTTATTTATTAGCTTTAATTAAATTACATTTTTATTTCAGTTTTAGTAATTTTGGTACTTAAACTTTTTTAATTTCAGTTAGCTTCCAATGCAACATTTCTAATTTTTAGAAAAGTTTTTCTAAGTTTTCATCATAATATTAACTATGTACTGTACATCTCCCTTAGTGCCCCATGTTTCTGTGACGTCATATATCCACATCTTGGTGAAGCTGGAATTGAAAATGTCCAAGTGTCGTTCTGTTACATTTTTGTGAGCATGGAAAGCAGAATTAGTCAATAAGAAGTGTTAGTACAGCAGTTATTTTTCTCACCAGATAACCTCTGCTGATGGAGTGTGTCAAAGTATCCTTCAAAGCATCTGTATGGGCTTTTTCAGCTGCAACAGGACATAAAACTAATGTTAGACTAACACCGAATCAGTTTTGTCCATGTTAATGGACAAAAAATGTTGAAGTATATATAAGTTGTATAAAATGTTGAATGTATATAATTCTTAAGAGATTGCTTATAAAATAACATATTTATTAATTATACATTTATATTAAATACATAATTATAATTATATTCCCAATTTCCGTTTATTGTGAGACAGTATATAAGTCTACTCTATACAGTATGTAGAATCATACTCTATAAAAGTGAGAAGTAGGTTATAATTGTACCTTCACTATGGGAGTGGAAGAGAAGAACAGACACGCTTGTGGAGGGGTGGAGAGGTCTGGCCACTTGTAAGAGTTGTTTTGCAGTGGAGAATGCTGCTGAAAGTGTTGGCAGCTCCTTCAACGTTATGTTGGCAGGAAGGGATGGATCCAACACCAGCACTGGGCCCATGATGCAGTGGGACAGCAGACATTCTGGCCTATCACAGGGCATACAGACTGAATTAAAGCAATATAAAGCCATTCACTCTATTATTCTGTAGTGCAGCAGTTGCTTTTGACACAGGAAAGCGCTGGTGGCATTAAAAAAACAACTGTGGCTATGACAAAGGCCCTGCTCGCTATGCAACAGGAAACGTATAAACCACACAATATTCAGTTTGCTTCATGTATTGCAGACACACGAATAGGATGAGAATTAAACCCTTTCGGCTCATTTCTACTTCTTTAAAACACTCACCTTCCCTTAGGAGCTTCAGTTATTTCAGATGCATTTTTCCCAAGACGCTCCCTAAAAAAAAAAAAGCAAATAAAACACTTTTAAACATCATTAAGCAAATGTTGTTCTTCTGTCATTAGCAGTTCATTCAGCACAGCCAGTGGTTCCAAATAAAGATAGGTGTGTCCCACCATACTAAACATACTAAAATACAGGCCACAATAGATTATTAATAGAAACGGCACATACAAATTCTATAACTGCATTTTTATTTGATTAAGCTTTGGACAAAGCTTTAAAAGTGACTTTTAACCATTAATGATGGGATGCTAAAACTTTTGCGCCTCACTCATAATGGACAGGTGTATCATTCAAAATAAGTATATAAGTAATAAATAAAACTAAGTCTGATCTAAAGTAAAAAGAAACTTTATATCGTTTCATTTATGATTTAATAATCCATTTATCAAATGGTTAATTCCATCAAATATGGAGAATGTTTATGCAGAATGCTTATGCAGAAAATGCAGAATATTTATGCCATGTGTAATTCAAAGTACAACGTTTTGCAAAAATAATAAAATAAATGAAGTAGTAGTAGTAGTAGTAATAATAATCCTTTTCTAAAGTTAAAAACATTATAATTTATTTATTTATTACTTGTTTTTTTTATTTACTTTGATTTCTTAACCCATTAATCAAATGGTAAATAAATACCATCAAATTCCCACCAAGCATGTGCAATTCAAAATACACCGTTTTAAATTAACTAAAATAAATACTAAAATAAATGAATAATAGTAGTAATAATAATCCTGTTCTAAAGTAAAAAGACACATTGTAATTTTCAGTTCCTTTATGATTTATTAACTCATTAATCAAATATTTAAATAAATACCATCAAATTCCCACCATGCAGAATGTAGTGAACCATGTAATATTCAAAATACATTGTTCTGAATAAACTAAAAATAAAATGAAATGTATAATAAATTGATAATAAAAATTATGAATAACATTAATAGTAACAGTAAAAATCATGTTTAAAATAAAAAGAAAAGAAACATTATGATTTATTTTCCTTTATTAATCCATTCATCAAGTGGTTAAATAAATACAGACACATTTCTCCTCAATTCCTGGGATAAATGAATACTACACTAAAAGTCAGTGTGTGTTTTATGGGTGGGGTACCTCAGGGCCTTCTGTTCTTCTTCCAACTGCTGTCTCACAGCACGAAGATCCTTCAGCAGGCCTGTGTCTGTGCCATTTACCCAGGTGTAAACCACATCAATGGGCATTGGTAGGCAAAGCCTGAAATGATACATTATACGAAGCAAGGAAGGTAGAAACATACATATGAAAATGTGTATTTTGTTTTTAAATCATGCATTAAAAAAAATAACAGTAATGATCATTTTCTGATAATAAGCATGAGATAACTGTGCCTCTTAAAGAGTGATCAGTTAACACAGGGCTTTATTACGGCTCGTGAATGAAGCAATGATGCTGGTTTCATTGATCTGTTGCTCACCTGGTCTGAAAGGACTTTCCTGCAACATTATCTCTGTAGGAATCAAACAAAACATGGTACTGATCTCGACTCCACTCTACCACAACCTACAAACCAAACCAAGCAAAACCGGCCAGTTAATACACAACACCAACACCTCACTAAAAAAAGTTTGATTTGCAACCTCTATGCAGCAGGTCAGAGTCAGATTGCACAATCAGCTTTGATCAGTAATCAGTGATTGACACAGAATGCAAAGATAAGAGGATACATGCATGGCCTAAACGCGAATCTCTTGAAGATAGAATACTTCTGTCGGATGAATTTGATCCTACTTGGTGTACATACCTCTCCAAACTGAAAAGCAGACACTATCATGAGGACTAGTCCTCCGAAGCACAGGTACAGTCCATAGCGATGAGACAGACAGGTGTATGTCTGCCGCTGCAGCAGTTTCAGAACCGAATTAATTATCAACATGACTCTCCCCGGCCATCAACATCTCTTCCTCCATAAACAATTAATGAGGACACATGTTTTCTTCGGTGAAATTAAAAATAGCTCCATTACACCAAAACATACAATCGCATGCTCAAGAATCAAACGCTGTAGTTCCTCATTGGTAGTGATCAGGTGATGAAACGAGTACGACGCGCAATTCTTCTTCTTCTTTTTGTTCAATGGCCGTTCACTCCTTAGTAGTATTACCGCCATCTACTGTATATCTTGCGCACATGGGTGATGAATCTGTACTGAAGGAAAAAAATAAATAAAATGTTGTAATGCCCACAGGGTGGGGAAGGATCAGAGCCCAAGCTTCAGCTGGCGCTGCGTGTTCAGCTCCTCCAGCTTCCACACTCCACAGAAGCATCATGATCCTCATCCTCAAACACTAAATCCTGTGAGCTCTAAAAATGTTAAAACCACCTTAAACATCTGACTATCACTCAAACCCTTTCCCAGAAGGTCCACGACACTCACTAGTCTGTTCCTTATATTGCTAAAAAGACGCTGATCTTCATATTTACTACATTTAAAGAGCACATGCTCTACTGTTTCAAAAACATCACATTCATCACACATACCATTGTCATGCTTCCCCATTAATGCAAGTGTTGAATTTAGTCCTGTGTGACCCATCCTTAATCTAGAAATCATTACTTCTTCCTTTCTGTGTTTTCCATAAAACTGTTCTTTTTTCCCTACTGATTTTACAATATTATAATACCACCTACCTGTGCTGCTATTTTCCCATCTTTGTTGCCATATTCTTATTATTTCCCTATTAATTACTGATTTTATCTCATTCCTTCCCAGAGGTACCTTAATATCCACCAAGTTTTTCTTTAAAGCTACTATTGCTAACTTATCCGCTGTTTCATTCCCTACTATCCCAATATGTGCCGGTACCCAACAAAAGTATACGATTATACCCTCTATTTTCAGTCTGTACAGTAATGTATACATTTCTACTAGCAGGTCTTCTCTATCAGTTTTTGTCGACAATATACTTTTAAGAGCTGATGAAGAATCTGAGCAAATTACAGTCGGAGTCCTATTTGGCTTAATCTGTTCTACCCACTGCAATCCTACTATTATAGCAGTTAATTCTGTAGAATATACAGACAATTTGTCACTTAACCTTAAACTTATTTTCGTCTTAAATCTTGGAATGTACACTCCTATGCCCACTTTTTGTTTGATTGGGTCTTTAGATCCATTTGTATAGATCTGTATAAAAGAATAAAAATGTTCTCTCATAAAAACATTGATTTCATAACTATTAGTATGTCTTTCTTCTGATTTTTCCCGGGCCTCCAACAATCTCATTTCAACAATGGGTTCAGGAATATTCCATACCGATACCCCATTTAATGGCATGTTGGGACAGATTTCTTCATTCTCCAGACCACAATCCTTGGCCCACTGTTCATACTTCCAACCAAAACTATTCCCACCATTCTTTTTATATTCCCAACAATCATTTAAAATTGTGCGCGTACGATGACTCTTATTACTACCCTGTAGATTAACCCAATACATCATCGCAGGCTTTTCTCTTCTTAAATCTAATGGCATCTCCCCCATTTCGACCCTGATGGCATCTAGAGGAATTGATCTTATTGCTCCACAGAAGATTCTAAGTGCTCTGGACTGTATGTCGTCCAGTTTCTTTAATTCTGATTTTGCTGCAGCACCATACACTGCACACCCATAATCTATACTAGACCGTATTAAGGCTTGGTATACATGTAACAGTGCACTTTTCCTTGCTCCCCATTCATACTTAGCTATTGAAGTCATGCAATTTATTACTCCTTTGCATTTGTTTTCAATTTTCTTAATATGTCTCTTCCAAGTTAATTTTTCATCAAAGATTAATCCAAGATATTTGAGCTCTGTCACTCTTTCTAACAATTATTCATATAATTTCAGAGTAATTTGTTCCTTTTTCTTTTTCTTTGTATTAATGGCTATTTTTAACTCAAAAGAATTAAAATCCTCATCCATATTACTATCAACTCCTTGTTTTTTCAAACGAACATTCTCATATATTTTACTTAACTCTTGTCTTCTTTTTAAGAACTTATCACTCAAGTTTTCAACACTATGAACTTTAGCACAAGTTTTGGCTGACTTCTGTCTTTTCTTTATTCATTCTGGCTATTTTCCCATCCTCTTCAATTACAGGGATCTGTTTATAATTATTAATACCATTCATTTTCCTAATCATTCTCCATACCACATGCATTCCAGTCTCTCTCCCAATTGTGTTACAGAATTCCTGCCAAGCCTTTCTCTTTGCACTTTTAATTACCCTTCTTGCAGCTGCCCTTTTCTTCTGATATTCTACAACTGTATCTTGAGTTACGACCTGTTTTTATACAGTCTATGGTTACGACGCGCAATTCGTGTAGATCTATGCACATGACAGACTCGCTGCCGCCCTCTATTGATTAGGAGGACGACCACTTTATAAACGAAAGCAATACATTTAAAAGACATTATGACTTAAATATTCAATAACTTACATAAATTAAATGTATAATTTCCTTCATGTCATTTAAAAACTTCTGCCATTTAAATTAATATTTAGATATGTAAAATAGTTTTTGTGACTTAATAGAAATTGATAGAGCTTTATAGAACCATGTATGTGCATAGACATGCGATATATAATAATGACTAAATAGAAATGTATCTCACCATCAGAGAGAATGCTTATTTAACACAGGCCTACCATTTAATATGTAATACAAACATATTATTTAAAAACTCTAAAGTCTCAAAAAGTTTAGTTTTTTTTTTTTAATTAAGAAATATTGACATTTATAAAACTGTTTAAAATTGTGTGTGTTGTGTTGTGAACAGAAAGTATGTTGAAATCAGTATTCGATGCAGGGAGCAGGACAAACTAGATGTCCTTAAAGAAGATATAATCATATATATTTTTATAATAATATAATATAATATAATAATGTGTATATTAAAATGTAATATGTATTTTTTATTTAATATAAATATATATTACATATATACAGCAAAAATGATAACACCCTGCAATTTTTAATTGTATTGACATATTTTTTTTAAATACTACTAATACAATTTGTTTTTTTACACAAAGTCATATTGATGTATTGTAATGGTGAGGCTGCACTTTTATTAATAATTTAATGCTCTTTTTGTTTTCATTTTTTTCTGCGTTCAGTAGCCATTCAAAGACATCTAGGTCCAAAATATTGTAATGCCTGCTGTCAAAATTAATCTGCAAATAGCTGACAAATAGCTGAAATGCCATTCAAATAGCTGAAATATGATTCATGACTTTGTTCATCATGACAAACTGGTTTAATGCATGCCAACAACGTAAAGTAGAAAGAGATTGATCTAAAATGTAATAATGTATCGAAAGAAAGGAAGAAAGAAAGAAAGAACAGCTCTGTGTGGTCTTCACATGTGCTGGTGGTAAGAGTCTATCGGTAAAACAATGAGGAAGAGAAAGATTCCCAGTGAACACGTGACACTATAGATACAGTTATAACGTCGAGTTATTGTTCATGGTTCATACAGTATGTGTTCAGTAAAGTGTCCGTATCTTGATGTCTGATCTCTGCTGTCCACTTCTCTTTTGTCTCCGTGAATGGTGATGCACCGACTCAGCCCTCAGGAGAGATGGTTTGGTTCATGGAAGGAATGTGCTTTTTGCCTACTTTTCTGGTAATCTGGTCATCGAGTACCTTCATAATATCTTACATCATCGCATTACTTCGACGAGATGTTGACGTTATCCTTCCTTACATTAGGTATGTCACACGTCTTTTTATCTTCAGCTTGATTTTAGTTGGGCTACACTTCTGAACTATACGAATTAACGATGGACTATACGAAAATAGCATAAACCAGAAATAGCTTATAAAGTTATGATATTAATAACACGGCCATGTTTTAAGCGGGTATTTATATAAAGCTGCTAGTTAAGAATCTGAAGAAGAAAAAAAAGGTTTTGCAGACAGCTCGTTTAGTTTCGTTTTCTACTTAAAAGTTGAATGTTGGCTCGAGTTCAAAATCAGTATTCATTGCAGGGAATGCTAGATTTCTAATACTAGATTTCAGGACAAACTAGATTTCTTTAAAGAATATAAATAATAAATACAATATATTGCGTGTAATATTAAGTCATATGTAATTATTTATTTAATATATATATATACTGTAGAATATATACTTTAACAATGATAACACCCTGCAATTTGTTAATTAAGTTTAATATTTAAAAATATTTGTAAAAATTCTAATTAATCATATTTTTAAGTCAAAGTCATATTAATGTATTGTAATAGTGAGGTTGCACTTTTATTTAGTGTAATTCAGTAAACTATAGAAACTTGTGTGTGCTTTTTAAATATAAAATATTGCAAGTTTATGATTAAATGCGTCTGAATTGCTTCAGAACTATGAATGTTCTTATTTTATTATCTCTGTGAATGTCTCTGAAAAGTGATACAGGGGCCACTCCACCTGAGAGCTGTGTGTTTGGATTCATGTCGACAATCACTTCCTTTGCAGGTAAGAGTAACAACCAGCCATTTGATTTCAGTTTGATTTGATTTGATTTCCAGCTCATATTTCAGACATGTGCAAATCCCCCACCAGCAGCTTCAGGAAACTCCGTACAGTTATCTGTGTGTCACAAACTATGGGAAATTGCACAACGTTGGCTTGGTTTTGACATGTGAGAGGAAAGCAGTGGGAATGTCTCGAGTGTGCTTTTCTTTAGAAACAATGGAATCACACTCATTCTGGTCTCACTTCTCTTTCTGCTGAAAATGAAAACATATTTTTTCCCCATCCGTGACACAGCTGGAGTTCAGTGTTTTACAAACAGCACCACAGTCTGTGTAGGACTGCACACAAAACCTCAAACAACTGCAGAAATGAAACTCAGTGCCAAATCACAGGTTATCAGTGCAACAATCATCTTGGCAACTCTACTGGATTGCGTTTTAACCTATATATGTACTATTTTCAGTGCATTATCCTGCATAATTGTGTTGTATTGCATGAGTGAATATTGTTTACTGTATTGCACAGCAATTTGAATTAGTAAAATCAATGATATGGTTTTCCAGCCTTTGCTACTATGTATGCTGAATATAAATTTGTGGAGAGAGTGCATGAGACAACCGGTGCCGTGTCCCCTCATCTGAACAAGGCTTCTTTTGCTTTTGGCATCATCTCTTGTGTCGGCATGTGTTTGGTGGCGACATTTCAGGTATATCTTATTCAACCTAAATCTTTTTTGCTCACTTTTTTTACTTAGTTTTCTCACCTTTATGTCATTCCAAATCTGTATGACTTTCTTTCTTTGGTGGAACACAAAAGAAGATATTTCAAAAAATGTCCTAGTGTGTTTTTGTCCTTACAATGAAAGCAACTGGGATCCAAAACTGCTTTGGACCCCAGTCACCCCACTGACTTTCATTAAACAGACGAAAACAGCTCTTCAAAATATCAAAAGAAAGAAAGTCATACAGGTTTGGAAGGAAATGGGGTGGGAGTAAATGATAACTCTCTCTTTAATGGCACTCATGTATGATGCTGTGTTCTAGGAGACGACGGTGATGGCTGTCCATGATGTGGGTGCTTTACTATTCTTCCTATTTGGGGTTACATACGCTGTTATCCAAAGCGTGATATCGTACCGAGGTCATCCATATGGATGTTCCAAGCGCGTTTGCCATTTCCGTGCGTTCTTCGCTGGAGTGGCTGTTCTAGCTGTATTTCCCAGTATCTTTTCTAGGCAGTACCAACATGCGCTATTGGCTGACATTCTGAAAGTAGTTTTGCTAATGTAAATTTGCATCTGCTTACATGGTATGGTCTTCTGAATCCAGCGTTGTGATCACAGCATGCTGGTTTTCCATGTAAAGACATGCAATGTTTAAATTTCAGATCAAACAAATAGTCTTTAACGCCTCCTTCCAGCTATTTTTTGTGCAATTCCTGTCGGAACAAGCAAACTTCACTGGGACACCAATGATAAGGTACAATTCATGTCACTAACCAGACATTCCAGTAATTCAATTGTAACAAAATGTATTACTGAATGTTTAAAGTTGCTCGTCTTGTTTTCTGAAGGACTACACACTTCATATAGTGAGTGTTGCGTGTGAATGGATCACCACTTTCAGTTTTGTCTTCTTCTTTTTAACATACATCAGAGAGTTCCAGGTGGGTATATAAAAGTTCATTAGACTTACACTGTTATTCAAAAGTTTGGGGTCAGTAGTATTTAATAAAAAATTAACTGTTTCAAACAAATAATGATCTTTTGAACTTTCTATTCATTCAAAAAATTTAATAAAATCATGTTACAGTGAAGACTGCTAAGTAATGGCTGCTGAAAATTCAGCTTTGCCATCACAGAAATAAATTGCATTTTATAATATATTCAAATAGAAAGCACTTATTTTAAATTGTAATAATATTTCACAATATTACTGTTTTTACTGTATCCCATAATCACAGCCTTGGTAAGCAAACGAAACTTCTTTCACGAACATAAAAATCTTACCAACCCCCAAATTTTTCACATTATTTCAAATCATAATTATATTCATTCATATTCCTTTTAGTGCCTCCAAGATCGTATTAACTTTTCTTTTATTTCTTTTTACAGCAATTCACACTGAAACTGACTGTTAATTTAATAGAGTATTCATGACCATGACATCATACCGTTACAGTATGTTTTGGTGTATTTTTATACAACTTACTACATTTTCATGTTGAAAGACCTGCTAAAGTACTGTGTAATCATTTGCAGTGTATATTTTGTAGCTTGTATTTTGGTCTAGAAAAAGGGCATACACATTTACTTGAAGTGTAATATACTCTAACCAGCTGATGCCAAACAATTTATAAAGCTGTTTGATAGTGATTCTCAATTTAAAAAGCGTTTATGATTAACCAAGACAAAATAGTTGAGCACATCCATATTTGCATGACTGTCAATCAATCTTCGCTTTGGTTATAGTTTGAAATTCTTGCTTTGTTTATGTTGGTTTACTCCATAATCATTCCAAAAATTCAGGTGAGCAACAGTTGTGTTTTAATCTTGCACTTTATGAAGTGGAATGTAAAAAAAAGTCCATTGCTTGCACAATGTGTCTGACTTTGTAATTGTGAAATAAAAACACATGATGATGATGATGATGTTTATGTGCATGACTAAAGAGAAGTGATTGCTTTAATGTTTGTAATGATAGGAAGGAATAGCAGCGTACATTACCAACCAGAGGCTGGGTATATTATAAATTATTATATTTAATTCATAAAGAACATTTGTAATGTTACCAAAGACTTCTATTACAAATAAATGCTGTTCTTTTAAACATTTTCACACACACACAAAAGCAGCACAATTGTATTCAACACAGATTTCTGAAGGATCATGTGAGACTGAAGTATTGGCTGCTGTAAATTCAGCTTTGCATCACAGGAATAAACTACATTTTAAAATACATTCAAATAGAAAACTCTTATTTAAAATTGTAGTATTTCACAATATTGCTGTTTTACTGATTTTTTTTATCAAATAAATGCAGCCTTGGTGATCATAAGAGACTTTGTTCAAAAACAAATTCTTACAAATGGTAGTGTTTATTGTTTTAAAGGAACTTCATTTCACTGAATTCAGACATAACTTTTAATAACAAGTTAGATTTAGAAAAGACAATATAAGCAAATCTGTACTGACTGTGCAACACAATCAGTATTATTAGAAACTCAAAAAATCTAACAAATAGGGCTTTATGTAATTTTTGTTATTAATATTACTGTGATTCAAATATTTTGATGTGATTTTGCAACTAAAGATGAATTTACAAAAAAAAAACTTTTACTCAGCTACGCTTTATTTATGAACAGGTTTGCAAGCCTGCTTGTGTCTATTTCATAAAAACACTCACTGGCATCTTTTTATTGTTATTAGATGTACATATTAGGCATCTAACATGTACATGTCAAGCAAGAGATGAGATAGTTATGACAATTCACATGAGAGTAGTACTTAGTAGTACAGACTTAAATGGACCAATTATCATCACAATCATTAGCGATCTCACCGAGTGAGAAAATGCCCTCAGAAACCAACACTATAGATGTCAAGTATGCAGTCTCCGAGATGTAACACAGCCTTAGTCACTAAGTGTCTGTCCTCTATAAGGACATTCAAGTGCATTTTACCCTGCTTTGAGATGAGCAAGGCTCATGATGGCCTACACAGGCTAGTCCTACAGAAAGCTCATTGGCTGCGATAGCCAATCAGTCGCTGAAAGATGATTCGCTGCCTGAGCTGTCATCATCTTGCTTTTCCAATCCTTTTTTGCCACTATCTGGAACAGGTGCGTCAGGGGTACTAAAGGGAAATTCAATGAATCCATTAGCTACAACATACACTTCATTGTAACACAAATAGTGACTATACACATGCATAAATAGTGCATAATATATGTACTGTCGTTAACACTTACTCAAGCAAACCGGGGTCCAAACCCTCCATTACCATCTTATTTTTAATGGCCATGACTGGAACACCCTGTGCGAAAGAGCAAAATATAGGTATATGCATATACTTTCCACATGTTATCATAGTCATAACTAGGCAATATGTGAGTTTATTAATGATTCCTTTCATTTTTAAGGAACAATTCACCCAAAAATGAAATTTTGATGGAATGCTTAATTACTCCTGATCTCTTTCCAATGAAGAAACAAGCTCATCTACATCTTAGATGGCCTGAGGGCGAGTAACTTGTGAGCATATTTTCATTTTTGGGTGAACTATCCCTTTAAGAGAAATACACATACCACTTGCACCATTTTCAGGTATCTGGCATATCGTGGGTCCTTGGCTACAGTTATCACGTTTTCTGCTGGGGCCTCTGCCTTTTGCTCCTGAGGGGCCACTTGTGCTTGCTGAGATGCCTGAATGGATGAGGAATGTATATTAATACAAAAAACATACTGGAATAACTTCCTGTTGGTTTTAAATACCTCAAAAGCAGTGGGATAAATGGATTATGACAATACTATCTCAGATTAACTGATACCTCAACAGGAGGACCTGAAGGGGGGCCCGTGGCATCACTGCCACCCGCTGCAGGGCCGTTTGTCTCTGTAGACCGTCTCACTCCATCCACTGTCACTTCTTCCAAACCAGGGATAGAGGCTAACTGCACATTTATACACCGCATTTTAATGAAATCAATCAGAATAAGCCTTGATTCATAATTAAAGTCATTTTTTTCAGACTCTGCCTTGAGTTACCTTTGCTTCCAAAATGCTCAGTGTGGTCTCAATCTGCTGGATTCGTAGTGATACTGTTGCTAGTTTCTGCAAAAACAAATGCCATCAAGTCATTGACACTTTCAGGAAATGTGTAAGTTGAGGTCAAGAGAGGAATGATGTGTTGGCAGCTGAACTTACCTCCTCACATACTGTGGAAAACCGGTTCAGGAACCTGACGGTGTGGACGATGAACTGATTCAGGAAAGCTACGATTCTTCGCTGCTGAATGGCTGGAACCTTAAAAAAAGAAAGTATAATGATCACTATTACAGATCACTATTATGTATGACAGATGATCATGTGAGCAGCAGTTGATGCTCCAATGTTAAACTTACCTTTGTAAGATCTACTCCAGATCCCACAATGGGTAATCCGTCCTCATCCATGTCAACAACTCTTTTGCGTTTCAACTGGAAAAGAGACACCGATTTCTACGCTTTAAATGTGCCAAATGTGTCTGGATCTTGCAACGAATGCATCGTGAAAATAAATCCTCACGTGACTTCAGTGCGACCTGCAGCATTTCCGCGTTACATAATAAAAGTCCTCAACCCCTGAAACTAGAGTAATTTGCGAATACATTTTGTATATTTTAAGTACAAATAATTGTATTTCATTTATTAGTATTTAAACTGTGTTTACATTGTAGTTTGTGATGTGAATTAATAAAAAAATTAAAGTCTTCACTTCCACGTTATCATAATAAAGGTCTGCTCACAAAACAACGAAAACTCGATTTAATCTGCGAGCAAATACTGAAAGTTTCATTTAGAAGTCGTTTTTGTGATATTTATAAATAATTCGTAGTAGTTCGATTACATACAAGTCCTACTATTTACTAAACATCTAAAACGATGTAACTTTTAGCCGTTATAAGACACTACCTTAGTTTTAACTTGAATTTTTTAGCAAGTAATGACACGCACACGGGTTATTTCAGCTTTCTTTTAAAGAGTAAACAACACTTATTGTATCATTATATTAAAAAGGATATTCAACAATCCATAATCACTAGTTAATTTCCATAACTATTTTGTTTCATAAGTGTCTTCTTTTGTAGGCTATTAGATGACATGGTTGTTTGTGTACTCAAGCACAAGCATCAGTAAAATCTCAAAAGAACATCAACACCAGCAGAGGACATGAACCAAGCTGTTACTACAAAAGAGAAACACCGATTTTACAAATCTGAAAAAAAATGACTTTAATTATGAATCATAACAAAGTTCCACATATAACAGATGAGATAAATCACCAAAAAAAGTCATCTTTTGAAAGACCACTGTGACAACAGCCATTTCCTAACTGTTTGCAAGTGAAAGGAAGAGAAAGTGTATATGGTGCAAAATTTAAAACAAAAAGAAAAGCCTTAAAAAGATAAAATAGGCAGTTGACACACTGACTGAGTTCATTATCATGAAGGGATTGAGTCAGATGCATCTGAAATGTTGCTCAGTCTTCATGTGCGAAGTCGAAGGGCTCAAAGTCAGAGCGCATTTGTTTGGCCTGATCCTCTTCCTCTTCTTTTGTACATTTACACTCCCTCCAGTCAGCACGCATAGGGATGTTCAACAATGCCTCACTCGCCAACACTTCCCTGAGGCCAAACACATACATACAGAGTGTACAGGTGGTTATGCAAAGAAAGTATTTACTCAGGTCATACTCATTCAAATATTTATAACTCATGTTGATGAACAGTGTCTGTTGAACAATTACCTGCCAAACTGCAAAGGGAATTTTTTCTTGATGCGATAAAACAGCTTCTCGCCTGTATCCAGCTCCACATAAAAGTAGGGTGTTCCTGGAGGAGCAATCTGTAATGGGAGATATTACAGTTAGTCACAGTGCATCTTTACACAAAACAGATCCAGGTCCCTTGCTCTCTCATTAACTACATAGATAATGTTACATAGTTCAGTATATTAGAGAGTGAAAATGAGTGTATTCAGACACAGCACCTAACAAGAGTGCACAAACCCAAATAACAATTAATGTTTTAATTCTATTTTAGACTACATACAGATGTGATTTTAAGGTGCCTTGTAAATTTTGCACTTTTTCTTTTACAGTTTAGACTACAAGAACAACAAACTAAACTGAGAGGGCTCAGATATGCCAATAACAGTACATTCAATAAATAAAAAAAAATTACATTGCAAGTACTAAATTATATGAACAGTATATATATATATATATATATATATAAATAAAAAAAACACATTACACACAATGTATACAATGTAATAAATTATGATATTAATAGTCATTTATAATTTAACATTATATAATGTAAACTTATTATAAAATAATAATAAAACAAATTATTTACAGTGTGTATAGAATGCATAGAATTAATAACAATTATGACAGTATAATATAACAATAAATATTTATATACTGTAATAAAATAACATCATATTAACAGTATACCTTAAATAAAATGTATATAATTAAATTACCAGTATATACAGGTATAATAAAAAATAAAATTTATGTAATACACTAAAGTAGTAATAAATTATCATATTAAAAGCTTATTTATAATCATTAAACATACATGAGCACAAAGCTGCAAGTCCCAGAAAAATAAATAAATAATAATAATAATAATAATAATGATAATAATAACTGAAAACATTTTTTCAGTTTGAGATCCGACACTGATGGAATGTACCTGCTTGAGGTCTGTATGAGCTGGAATCTCCATCAATTCCATCTGCTGCTCTTCAGCTTGTGTCATAAACGCCTCCTTGATGTCTTCTGTACTGCACTTCTCCATGGACACCGGCACTACCTGAGGACGACAAAAGTAGTTTCCGTTAAACCTGTTATGCATTGTTTCTCATAAGGAGGTCTTTGGGAAATCATTTATTTGGTCATCACTGGGAACACGTCCCTCAGAAATGGTTATCCGTCAGCGCAGACAGACTGTCTATCCACTCAGACTTAAACTGATTAAATTATGTTGAAGTCTGTTATTGGTGGAGGGCTAGGCATCTCTCACACTCTCCACGCTGCTATGAGTTTACCAGACTCTCTTTTTCATATATGTGGTGCTGCTCAGACTGACCTGGGATCTGTACAGGTCAGTCCAGTCAGGCAGACACCACAATCTCAATATGAATGACACAATATTTTGTATGGACCTGTAGTTGAAGGTGCTGGCTACGGTAGTTCCTCTCAAACATGATGCACCGCTGGGCTCTGCTTTTACAGAACTTCTTGACGGCACTCTTGTATTTCTCCATCTCTTCAACCACCTCCGATGCCAAATCAACCACTGACTGGTAATGTCCGATGGGCAGCAGGAGAACATGGTCGGGAGTGAGACCACCCTTAGCGAGAGCCATGTAACACTGGAAACAGAATACTTACATTAATGCATAATGGACAAACAACAGATGATGTATCAATGTGATCAATAATTTATTGGTTGATATATTCTTATGTTCAAAGCATTCTAAAGTGACACTGGGCTGCAGAATACATATTTTGTGGACTCACATGTGTCCCAATGCTTATGACCAAGTGCTTCTCGACTTCTGGACTTGCAAGGCAGAACCAACAGGGTCCGGTGGGCTGTGCTGTAATGAGATATGAAAACAAGGTCCGTGTCAAAAGCAGCATGTAAAATTAAATTCAAATCCTCCCCAAAATCAGGCTTGAAATCATTTATATTTCTACATAAGGTAATAAAATAGTCCAGTTTGATCCATTAGAACAGCGGAAGGAGCGGAAAATTTGGCAGGTGAATGGACTCACGGGGTCTTCGGGGCTGTTTGGGGTAATTAGGTCTGTCTCCATCCGTTTGTCTCTTCCTGCCGTGGTGATGTTGCTGGTGCTGTGGTTTCTTTTGGCCCAGATCAAAAAAGAACTGGGATACTGGTTCCTCCTAAAGAAAAAGGAGATGTTCAAATGATCTTTTCATTGAAATAAGGTACACTACCGTTCCAAAATCTGGGGTCAATAAGATCCTTCTTTTTTTTTTTT